TGACAGTGAATCTTACAATTTGTTTCTGACTATTTACAAAACTGTACAAAACCACAAATGATATAATGATCGATGAGCAAATGGGAATTGTTTTGTACAGTTTTATTTTGTACAGTTTATTTTCGTAGTCATTAAAGTTGATACAACAATTGAAAATAAATAAGATTATTTATGGAATTTTCGAAAATGAGCGTGGCACCACCAATTTATGACTACATAAGTGGATCACATTAAGTCTAACTAAATATTAGAAATAGGGGTAAAACTACTCCTGCATACCATGTAACGGCAGTTTTCAGAAATGTTCGGCTTCGTGCGAACTTAGACTTCTTTACTTATTATATAAGGTGATTAAAATTACGAAAAAAAAAATTAATTGTTAAAACTTGTCAATTCGTGGTGCGCTTATAATTTTTTACTATCTATGTGTTTGCGTAAGTGTTTAATTAAATTTCTATAGATACATATGCATTTAAATACCTACTATTATCCTAATCTATTCCCGGCGTTAGTTGTTTCATCATTTCCTTTACATAAATACTAGAATTAATTATATATTTAGTACAGACATACATATGTACATACATATGTATTTTCTTGATTTGTGCCGCTGTCTGCTACGCCAAAATCATTGCCAATATTGTATTCTAATGAAAATGCCGATACGTTTTTTTTTTCCTAATCGTTTTCCTTTTTTGTTCGTCGGTACTTTTAAAGATGAGAGATTTGTGTTGTTTAAGGTGTCTCTCATTTCACAGTTTCGATTTCAACCGCGCTGAAAATTCTACAGATTTCTATGTCAATTTTTATGTACCTAGCTACAAATGTTTTGCACACATCAGATTACAAACAACCGCAAAGCCCCTATTTGGTGATAGAGACTTTTATTTTGGTGCGAAGCATTGACAGCAGGCATTTGATTATGCGAAATAAGTAGGTAAAACATCTTTAAAGTTGAAACTTATGTTTGGAATTATAAACTTATTTAGTTACAAATGGTGTCATTGTCTTTGAATGACCTTCCTTGCACATAATTTATTGCGAGTAGCTGAGGTATGTATGCGCTGAGAAGCAGAAAACGCTAACGAACACAACTCCAAGGATCTTGGCGTGGTTCACCTTCCGCCGTCGAGTTCTAGCCTAATCGTCACCTGGTGAAAAGTATGACAATGAAAAAAAATGTTTTTACCAAAACGGATACTGCTTATCGATTGTTACTTGCCTCACTGGCATAGTTTCATTTGTTTAAAAAGTTTAGATCAAAATGTTACTCAAGTAAATTGATCCTCTTGGGTGCAATAACCAAGTGTTCTAGAGATCATTTCACAAGAGCATGTGTTGAAGGCCGATCCTCCATTGGAGTCGTAGTTTCTTTTGAGTTCAATTTATGACATCATCATGTATTCTCCACCGCTGTACTTGGCATTGAAATTGAACAATAACTACATTTCCTTTTTTTTCGTCGGAATCATTGTTTATTATTTACTTATTTGTTGCTAATACTCATTCTCCACACGCTCATATTTATGTGTAGAATGGAATTTTCGCGGTTGTTTTTTTTTTTAATGTTGATATGTTAATGAAAAGTGTTTACAGGTGTTTTATGTATTTCTACATGCAACATTGAATGTTGAAAATTGTTTATTTACGATGCTTTCACCGAAAACAGAAAAAACGAAAAACGCTTATGATTGATAGCGGTTTTTCGAGACTATCGAATAATTTGCTTTTAGATTGCGATTTTAAATACATACCTTTTAAGAAGATTTTATTTATCTAATATTTGAATATTACTCGCACATTCCTAAGTCCATGCTGATGTTTTGTGTGTTTTTCTAAAGCGATTTATGCGTTCTTCATGCATATTTAAATTCCTACGTCATTCTACATATGTAATACATACATAGTACGCAAGTTGCAAATTAATTGGCAAAACAATCAACTATTTTTGGACTTTGCTAATTGAAGCAAATGATGCCAGGCAGCTCTTCTCTTGAGCTCCATAAAACTGAAATCTAAAACATATGTTTGTATACATTGTACAACAACTTTTACTACTACTTCTCTTGTATGTATGTGCACATTTCAATTTCATTTCTATTTGTTGCGCTGCGTCAAATCCGGTCTCTAGTCCATTCGTTAGCCGGGCAGCCGGCTACATGTGGTGTCAGCGCGCACTCGTGCCAAATAAAACAACAAAGGGGAGCATCGCACAAATCCATATCGCACACCATCTTCAAAAGAGTCACAACTCAAAATTTGGCAATTTTGAGATTATGCGCTAAAAATGTACGCAGAGCTTTTATTTATCTTTCAGCAAAAGCTGGAGCAAATTTTTGTTATAATTTGTTAAAAAAACTTAAGGTGAAGTCGCTCTTGCCCATATGATTATCATGTGCTAAGAAATAGTTTTTCACATTTTCTGACAAACGTATTATTTTGAGTTGTGACTCTTTTGAAGACGGTGTGCATATTATGCACATTTTTATGTGTGGATATCTTGGAATAATTGCTAACATTGTTACGATGTTGCCGACGTTTGTTTACTTAGTACATACTCTCAGACATTGTACGGACATAAAAATGTTGCAGAAGTCTTCTTTCCTGCAGCTGTTTATTTTTTATGGAAAATGAAATGAGTTATAGTTACATAGCTAAAATTGAAATAAATCATTGGAAATCTATTCGTTCATAGTTCACATATAGTCTTGTCTCTTCGGCAACAAGGCACCCCTTTTGTATTGATTACGTATCTATGTATATATGTATGAATGTTGGTCATTCAACCCGATTTTTTTTTAAAGTAGAATGAATTTGTTTTGGCTGAATCTAAAACGCTGGTTATTTTCTTTATTCAATTACTTTTTCAAATTACTCCACCAACATCTAGACTTTACACCGATCGGAGTATATTTATTCCTATTCATATAAAAAAATTACCTTTATCCCGTTACATACAGTCCAATATTGGTGGTTTTCGGACCAGGACAGTATTTTTTCTTCAGTGGTCAAAAGTCTGTGGGCAAATATCCCAGTTGGTTAAGCCGTCGGGTGCTTAGTTGCTCTGGAAGTAAATATTTCTGCACCAAGCAGAATATTTTGAAAAAAATGTCCCTTACGTTTGCTTGGACGTTGCATGATTCGCAAATATTTAAAGTAATTGTCTATTTCACAAAACTCAGTTGAAATTTCAACGAGAGGTTTTTCAAAGCTTTTCCTAGTTAAAGGTATAACACATACTCCGATTTTTCGAGTACATAATTAACTCCTAAATCAAGCTTCAGTAGTCCGAACCCTGCACTCCACACCCCAACCATCTATTGAAATGCCATCACCAATTTCGCATACATGCAGTCAAACATAAATATTTATGTATATTTAGATATCAATTTAGCTATCGTTGTTAAATAACAACACGTCCAATTTCATTTAAGTTGCATTTGCCCCATATCATGGTAAACATATATACATACATAAATACACCAGTTATCCAAACAAGTTGCGTATTGATTGCTTATGGACTTCCAAAGTTGGAGCTATTGATTTGTTAGTGGTATTCCGGTCAGGCTACTTTTGTTTTTAGTAGGTATTAAGTAATAGGTGGATTGATTTAAATTATGAAAATATCGCTGCTTGGCCTGTTATACTACCCGTTCGAGAGGAGCGAGGGCAAGAAATTCAAAGGATGCAATTGTAACAATTGTTTCACTGAGCTTATCAAGCTCAATAGTTGCTCATCAACACACTTAAATATATTAAAGTCAACTCTGGAAGTATTTTTCCTATATAAATTTTGAAAGGAATTGATCTTGTTTGGCGCTGTAGCCGCCTAAGCGATCTTGGCCGAGCGAGCTCAACAAAGCACACCAATCGTTTCTGTTCTGTGCCAACTGACGAAAATTGTATATGCCACGTAGAGCCAAGTCCTTTTCCACTTGGTATTTCCAACACAGAGAAGGCATCCCCTTCCTCGTGCTGTTCCGAGTTAAATACTTTCAGGGCCTGGAGAGTCTGCGTTCATTCGAATGACATGGTCAAGCCAGCGGAGCCGCTGTATTTTAATTCGCTGCTCTATGTCCATTCGTTGTAAAGCTCATACAGCTCATCGTTCCGTCGTCCGTGTTACTCGCCTTGCCGTCGTTAACGCGTAAAGGCCCTTAAATCTCCTGCAAAATTTTTCTCTCGATTATTCCAAAAGCCGCCTCATCGGATGTTGTCATTATCTATGCTTCAATAGGATGGAAAAGTGTTGTCTCCATAATTTTTAGTACGTTTTGGACATGGGTTACTAGGTCATCCAGGTCTTGAAACCTTCCGTAAGTGCTCTAACTCTTTGGCAAAATTTTCGAAAAATTTTTCCTGTCGGCCAGCATTTCAAGCTCGTCACACTCCCGGGTATCTTTCGTCTTATTTACGTCCAAATTCACTTTTCTAATTTTTGAAAATGATTATTTTCGCCACTCGTCCAAACTTTGTTGAATCGATGTGTTTTTTATTATTTGGAAGTAGGTTTTATGTGGATCTTCTTTTGCTTTTTTGTTCAAAATCGACAGAAAGCCAATCACAAAATTGATCTGCCCACGCAGTCTTTAAAAATTTTCACCTCTGAATGTATGTATGTATGTAAATATTATAAATACGAACTAGTTAAATATTTTACACCATTTACCTGAGAAAGATGAAATATATATGTACACACAAAGGCATTGAACGACCAACTACTTAAAAAATCTTAATAACGAGGATTTACACGTCACATACCGGCACAATTTTCTTTTACAATTTCCTGCCCAGCTGACTGCCAGATACCAGGTAGGCCAGTGCTTATGTGTGCATTTCCTTGTCCAGCGGCCATTTACGTTGATAATCTGCGAAAACCGCGATTTTTTTAATGGCAATAGGCAAAATTTTTTTTTAAGATTTTCACTTTTCTCTATGTTTTTCTGCGTGTTTTGAAGAATTCTAAAAAAAACTCTTTTTTCAACTTATTTTGCAGGTGAAAAGAGGCAGATATAGCCTACCAATAAAATTTTCCTGGCTACTAAATAAAAAAAGGAGCAAGCAGAAAGGCAATTAAGGCATAGGAAAACCAAAGGAAGCTCAACTTAACAAAAAACAAAACCACTCGTTATAACAACAACAGCAACACCAAGAGCCAACCTTCAAACAAAATGAGTAAAAAACCTACAGTCGGACCCGCGCTCCACAAAGTGATAATGGTGGGCAGCGGCGGTGTTGGCAAATCAGCATTAACACTACAATTCATGTACGACGAATTCGTGGAAGATTACGAACCAACCAAAGCAGATAGTTATAGAAAAAAGGTTTGAAAGAAAAGCTAAAAAATTTAATTTGAAATTAAATGCTCAAATTTGCATACCCAATAATTTGTTTCCGCATAAAAAAAAAAAAAAACTTTGTACTTTTCAGGTCGTTTTAGATGGCGAAGAAGTACAAATAGATATATTGGATACTGCCGGACAGGAGGATTACGCTGCCATCAGAGATAATTATTTTCGCAGTGGTGAGGGTTTCCTCTGTGTCTTCTCAATCACAGACGACGAAAGCTTCCAAGCAACACAAGAATTCAGGTGAGTACATACATATATACATATGTAGGTAAATAAATGGACTCCTATGTAAATATGTAAGCACATTTGCCGGTATTAACAGTTAGTGTGGCCAAGCTATCCTCTTTGAAGCTATATTTAGCATTTAATTTTAGGTCTAGATTCGTGGTTTTTACTGACTTTTTAATTACGATATTCATAACAAAATTCGGGCCGGAACTAATAAAAATAAGTAGTAGTCATACTGAAAATCTTTAATAATTCAAAACCTATCGTTTACCGTTCAAAAATTACAATGGCAGTGCAAAGTGACATTTCTTTGAGAAAATAATTTGTTTACTCTTTGTAGGTCTATAAAAAAATAGTAAACAAAAATTTCTTTAAACTGCATTTTTTACAGTTTGATTTGTTGGCGTACTATCAGTGTAGAAAATAGTAATCCGTTTCGCTAAACTTGTCGAGTTGGTAAAGAGTTTTTAAGTTATGAATATATTGACTTCTTTTAACTTAATTTTTCATAGGATATAACTTTTTCTTACCCTTTTTCAAAACCAATTTAGCTTCGGTTTTTGTATACATCTGGCCACACTGTTAATACTATTTTAGTATTCTTAAATCCCAATCCACTTTCGGCCACTAGCATTTGTGGATATGTACATACTATTTGCCATTAGCTATCAGCTATCGGCTTTCTTTTAGCATTATGCTATTATTTGTTGGCCAAATTGCATTCGGCGAATTAGTGAAATGTGTTGGGGAGAATGTCATTTTATTGCTGTTATTATTATTTCAGCTTTAGTGTTTTTTCTGTGACGTTTTTGTTGTTAAAGTAGTAGTAAATTTTGACTTTATGATTTGCGGTGCATGTCGGCGGTTACTTTCAGAATCATTAAATTTTCTATACATACAATAAATTTTTCTTAACGATTTCTTATTGGTTTTCGTGTGAAATCACCTTTTTTATAACTTTGGTGAAGAATTTACATACATATGTAGGTCAGGAGAAATTAGCTTGGAAATTTATGCAAAGTCTACAATTTGTAAGTGTTATTATAGACATATAAACGATGCAAGCGTTGAAACAAGTTGAAACCTTTTGAGGTCAAAATTAATTATCCGAAATTTTTGGTATTAGTTCTTTATACAATTTAACGGGTTTTATTTAAATGACTTAACAAATGGCGCTAAATTTTTACTGCTCCGAAACATACGAAATAATTTTAATTCTACTCAAAGAAAATTTTTGGACATATTTAGAAACGAAACATCGTACAGAAATTTTCAAGTTTCTCTATTTGGGAGAGAATTTTTTTCTTAATGCATAGACAGACGGTAACCGTATATCCGGATTACCGGCACAGTTGATCTGCTCAAAATTGTGGCCGGACATACAGCAGTCATATAAATAAAGTAAAATAAAATAAAATAAAATAAAATAAAATAAAATAAAAAAATATAATAGAATAAAATGAAATAAAATAAAAAATGGCAATAGAATAAAATTAAATAAAGTAAAATAAAAAAAGGTTTTGGTGATGGCCGTTCCCACATTGAGGACATATATCCTGGCTGTGCGGATTAGTTTGACTCTGTCAAAGTTCAACTTTCTGTATTAGCAAAGAATTGCTCCGCCTCTTCCTGGAAACGAATTGCAATTGAAATCTTATTTTCTGCCAGGCGTTAGCAAAATTTTATACATTTTAAATTCTCTCGAAAGTTCGACCACCAAACGCTTGTAGGACGATCTTTGGGAATCTGCTTATTTTGATATATCTTATCGGAAAGAAGTCTGTATAGTTAAGCCCGTCGGAAAGTTATTAAAACGCATCAATTAGTCCTCTAGTAGCCTTGATATGCTAATATCTTACGCGAAATTGCAAAGTTGGTAATAATCGGGTAGTCGAAAAAAATGCGTACAATTTGAATTTGAACAAATTTAAAGAAATCTTTCTCATATTCACTTTACTTTTTCAATCACTATTTTTTCTGATCTTGTTATGGTGGAACACAATACCTTTTCTGTTGATCCATTATGGTAAGTTCTTTTCATCGATTGCTGTAAATGGCCAACTGCTGACTTTAGAGTTCAGAATCAAATGTTTAACCAATCCCAGAAATGCAGCAAGATGCTCTAGGAGTTGGGCCTCGATTACAGGTACATCTTTAACAATGAAATTTGTAGAACGAAAACGGTCCAAAAATCCTGGGTGGGATGAATGATTCTTTACCTAATTGATCATATTTTACTCTATTCATGAATGATTTTTAAAATATTTGGCCTTAATGAATTTTTTTTTATCCTACCAATCTGCTATTGGCCTCATTATTTACTCCAGTGAGTCCATTTATTCTTAACGATTCCAAAAAGGAACCATAAAACCATAAAACTGCTATGAAGCATATAAAACGGCAGCTCCAGCAAAAGGCCAAAGTCAGTGACAGGACGAAAAGCCTTGTAGGCAGGCAGATTGACGGCTTCGACCTTAATGGCGGCATGTCACGTAAACAACACGTCAAATGTTTGCATAACTTCCGCATATGAAAACGCATACATACCACCGTTTTACATACGTCTGAAGCGCATTCCTTATTGATTCACAATACTGCGGCGTCAACTTGACGCGCCCTTCAGTGAAAGTTAACAAACTCTGTGAAAAACATACATATATCAAAGCGCTTAGTACTGGGCGGCAGGTGCGTCACTTTTATGCATACGCAATAAAGCACGTTTACATGTTTGGTGGTGTTTTGTATGTGATTTACTCTTCAATTAGACATGTTCTTCCACCTGCCACAAAGTGTGGGTGGTGGTGTGTAAACGGACATGTCACGTAAGTTTATTCCTTACTACCAGGAAAGGTTGCCACAGAAACGACTTGCTACTTTCGAAAATATGGCAACAGGTATATAACTTCAAGCGACATATATGTAAGAGTACATGCATACGTAAGAGATCGCTACTTATGAGAAAGCATTGCATACATATGTATGTACATATGTATAAATCTATGTATTTGCTATAAGAGAAGGTGAAAATTCTTGATAGGGTTCAAAAGAGGCCATTAGGCTGAAAGGTATGTACATACTACATTTAAAATGACTCTAGCGAGTCATAAAAGGATACTTTAATTCGCTCCACCCTCTGAATGAGCCATTCTGTTGTTTGGGGTGGATGATTTATATGCAACTAGGTATGTACATATGTATGTACATACAAATGTACGCTTTTTGACAAAGGTTGTTTTTTTTGTATAAATTCGTCAGCTACAAATGTAACTGTTTGAGCTAGTAATATAGTGTATGTGTGTAACTTTTAGACCGTTAATTAACAGAAAAATATGCTTAAAAAAGTAATCGACGCTTGAGCAATAGCCAGGTTCAGCATTATTTTTAAAACTGCATAACTACGGTGACCATCCGTCCTTTATTTTAAAGGACAGTCCTTTATTTTAACCCCCTGTCCTTTATAAATTTTTTTAAAATAAAGGACGCCTTTTGTCCTTTATTTCGTAAACTGTCCTTTAAATCGGCTCTGCATTTTTCAGAGGTAAATTTTTAAACGTAGAATATGAAAAACAAAAATGTCCTTTATAAAATATAATGAACACTTTCGCCAGTTTGTTTCGCACCCCACATAATAATAAGTTGAAAACAATTGTATGGTTTTCCCAAAACAAAAAAATACACAAAAAACAAAATTGTGAAATGTTATAAAAAAATGTTCATCAAAATAAATATTTTTTTTTAGTTTTTAGTAAAAATTGGTTGAAAAATGAAGGCTCTGGTGGATTGTGAACATTTTTAATTCCAAATTTGAACCACTGTGTGCTGACTTCGTCGTGCAATATGAATTATGGTAAACGCATTTTGGTAGCAAAGTTGGCGAAGTCCTTGAAAAGGATTTGGCTTCATTTTTCGCTACAGCAGGGAACTTATACAATTAAATAATATAACTAACTGGTAAATATTTAATTGAAATTACGATATGGGCAAGGTACTTTTATCATACAAGTTGTATGTACGTATTCCCAAAACATTTTGAAAAAAAAATGTACTTTATTTTACGTTGTCTAATATGGTCACCGTATGCATAACTGTAGTAAGTAGCTGCGTGGTTAGAGGAGCGCACTTACACTCGGTAAGGTCTAGGCTCAGCTAAAGACCCATTATAGAAAGAAATTTGAATAGCCTCGAATGTTCTTCTACTATGGAAAAGTGTCTCATAGACCGCCGTTTGGGAGTGGCGCACGAAGTAAATTCCTCACAAGAACTGCGGCCAAACGTAGTAATAACGATATAGAGTGGGGAAATAGTAAATTCTGCAACATTTTATTAAAATTCGGTACCGTCAATCGATTTCAAACGTTCATCTTGTTTTTTTGAGACCTCAGTAACGTTTAGTGACTAATATTTTCATAGAAAATGTTAAACCCTCTTCGGTCTTATTAAGAATTTAGTCGATGGTAACAGCCCCTAAACCGCCTACATCTTTTGGCGAGTTCACACATCTTCATATCGTGTGTGACTATTCGAGCCCAGGATTATCAGAGGAGCTAGTATGGTTGAACTTGGTTCCTCACCTCTCGTTTGGGACTCTTTCCTATTTTGGCGCTTACACTTTTTGCTAAGTGTGTGGCCGAGCTTTTATTCCAACTTGTGTAGTGCGTCTTGATATTGTTACACAAATGGAGGGACATACAGTTTTACGCCGCCTCCGGACGAAAAATGGATTTTGCCCCAACTTCCCCACTGTAAAGCTATGTACTTATTTTACATTAGCGCGGAGACACTTCCGTGAAATTTATCGATAATACTGATCTAGTTTTTTAAGACCCCACCATTTTAAATACATGGAGTATTTTGAATGCACATACATACATACATTTAAACTTATGTTTGTACATAGTTATATATGGCAAGTACTTCTTTTTTGCGTTCACCATAATGCCAACACCTAACTGAGCCACACTTAGTTTTCATTGAATATTTTATGTAGTCGTGCGATTTTCCAAATACCTAACACGCTTTTCTACAAATATAGACAAAACAAAACGCGTATCGCAAAAAGGAAAGCGAAA